GAGGTGTTGTTTACTACGCTAAAAGCGTTATGTATAATTCACCATCGTGTTATATGAAGTAATGAAAAATTATAGGCGACTTAAATGCATGCCGGGGAAAGGATAATTTACGGCCCCTCCATGATAGGGTATCATGTAACCATCACAAGGGATGCTGGCTGTGCAGCTCATCAGAGCTGACACGAGAGTGTTATGGGGAGAGGCTGCAAAAGTAAATAATTTCAATGTTGTAAGCATGCTTGTTTAGAAAAGAGACACTGAGATGCGAATGATGGTTTCCCCTGGATGGTGGGATGTGGTCTTCCTCCTAATCACCTTTGCTGCCTTACTAGTCTTCCTCCGGTAGGCACATGGCGCCTTGTAAGCCCACCGGCTTCTTTCTTCATCCGTCTGTTTGTTGGATGACAAAAATGCCTTTCTTTAGAGGACTTGCCTCTGTCAGGCACAGTTCTGTGTGTGTACTGCCTACATTATTTTATAACCAGACAAAAAAGTTAGAAGAACCAACTTAAAAAACGTTGCTGGTGTTTTTGACCCCTAATCAAAGACATGTCCGTTGGCTTCACTGTCCCATCTCAGGTGACATCTTCCCAGCATTCCCTAAGCTTCTGCAGGAGTGGATGAATTTGGCGGCACGGGCAGGAATGGGGATGCTTCAGAGAGCACCAGGTCCTGGTCCTGCATCCCCAGGGATGGGGCAGGATAACCTTGGGCTCCTGGGCACCACCCACTCAGGCCAAAATGACAGCCTGACCTCAGTCTGGGGGCATCTCCCACCTCACTGCCCCTCCCTTGATGCTCTGGCCCCCCATGGTGCCCACAGCCCCCACACTACATATGGCTCCCATGATATGTCCATGTCCCCAGTGATGCTCACGGCCTCCGTGATGGTTATGACCCTCATGATGTCTGAGGCCCCCAAGGCGATCACAGCCCATCAGTGACACTGAGGGATGCCCTCAAAGGTGGCCTTTACTCCCAACCCATCCCCCACTAACTGCATTGTCCATCACATACTCCTCAGGGAAAGCCCTGTGTCAGCTGAGTGGCCAGAAGAGGGAGGCCTGAGGATGCTCCTGGATCCAGAAGTTAGGGCTGGGCTGAGCAGAGAGAACCCGAGGGGCCCACTTATCTCAAGACTGGCCTCTGCCCTCTGGCAGTGTGGCCTCAGCCCTTGGTCTCGCTTCCCCCAACCTTGCAGGGAGAGCCCATGTTAGAGCTGACTCCCCAGGCCTGTGTTCTGAGGAACATTGACCTGTGGTCCTGGTGAATGGCATCCTGGAGTGGGGGGACTGGCCTACACACATCCCTCACAATAAGCCAAGCCATAGGTACTATTATCCCATTCTGTAGATGAGGAAACTGAGGCGCAGAGGGTGCAGAGCTAATGGGTAGAAGAGAGGGCTTGAGAGCCCAGAGGCCTGTCCAGAACTTGCGGCTCCATGCTGGTGCAGGCCAGGCTCATGGGGACAGGAACATAGGATGGAAGGTGGCCCTGGTCACAATAGGGGCCACCATCAAAGCTCAGACTGCAGAGAATCTCTGTGCCATGGCCAAGGGCTGTGTCTGAGAGCTGAGTGGCAGGACGGGAGGAGGATGGCCATGCCTAGGTGTGCCCAACATCCCCCTGAGGCACTTGGCCTTGGCTCTGGGCCTGCGGGAGACCAAGGCAGGTCCGGGCAGCCAGAGGACTAAAAGAGACAGACTTGGTGTGAGCCAAGAGCTGCAATGAGATTATTGGGAGCTGAGCAAACCCTGGACCTGTGGGCATTTTGCAAATGTCTGCATGCGATTGTCCATCTGGTTCCTTGCCACAGACAGGACCCCAAGCTGAGGAGACACCTCACTCATGGTCACATGGCCAGGATGAGGGGTTGGGGAAACGGGGTTCCTTGTAACACGGAGCCCAGCTCTCCATCCATCCCTGTGAAGGGAGGGCATGTGGTCACTGCCTCACTCCTTTGCCTGCATTTGCTGTCAGGATGCTGAGAAAACAGGGGTTTAAAAGGGTGGAGTTCTTGTAAAGCTTCTGAGGGATGGACCAAAATGAGATGGAGTGGTGAGACAGAAAGAAATGTGAGGAGGTGGGACAGAGTTGGGAGGGGGAGAGAGATGGAGAGAAAGAGAGGAGGAAGTAGAGGGCCGGAGTGAGGGGAGGGTGGGTCGGCCTCTTGGCCCCGCAGGCTCACGGGCTTGTCTCATTGCCCCTTGAAGCTGCTGCCCACCTCCCTCTGACTTTGCACCCGTGCACGGTGGCTCTGAGCTCCTCTGGGGATGGATCCAGCCGGGAGCCCGCCGTTCAGTGATTGGCTTGTGGATGGGCGTGTCCCGCAGCTCCAGCCCCAGAGAAAACGGGACTCCTGCAGGTGGTCCTGCGACATTCCTTGACCTGGGATCCATCATCTCCCCAGTGGCCTTGGACCCTGGTGCCCAGTTCCCCACTGGGGTGGCAATTCCTCTTTCTGTACAGCTGTCACCAAGGCCAGCAATCATGGTATTCCCCACCACCCTGTGCTGAGGCTGAGACGGGGCGCCCCTGGGGTGACACCCAGCTTCACAGAGGTCAGGCATGGGTCCTAACAGCTGCCCTCACTCCCTCAGGCTCGGGCTCAGCTCGATGCTAACCCCTGGGCTGCGGTGAGCCGCAGGGGGCAATTACTGGACTCTAGGTCGACCTGTGCTGTCCACCTTGCCCTGTGTGTCTAAAAGACATTAGCACTGAGGACTTCAGAGGCCCTTTCTTCTTTTAAAAATTCCAGCCATATTTGCAAGTGGAAACACTTGTTTTCCTGCCTTGTTTCTTATGTTTTCCAGAAGCTGCTTAAAAAGCACGTGCTTATGAGAGTTGATTCAGATGAGTTTTTTCTCCTTCCCTCCACAATGGGCTCCCGGCCCAGCCCAGCTGAGGATGGAGGGAGGCACCTGACTCCTTGGAGGGTTCCAGGAACAACGCAGACCTGTGGTCATGGCAACATCAAGGTGGGTGAGAGGCTCACCCGTCACCCTGAGACTGGGGTATCAAGAAAAGCGACCCAAGGCTGTGTGAGTGAGTTTTTAGGCAGCATTGCAAATTGTGCCACTAAAAGTATATCCTTGCCTCTGCTCTGCAGTCTGACCTGGGAGATGGTGGCTAGGGAACACACAGCACCCACCAAGTGCCCAAACTCATCCTTGGGGGAAGATGTCAGAGCTGGTTTATAAGCGAAATCTCGTCTACCCATTAGGAACTGATGGGGTGTCATGCCATAGAAATGGTTTTTCCCCTCCCATCACCTGGGCACTGCTGCCTTGCTCAGAAGCTGGATGTCCAGACAGTAATCCAGGGTGCCCTTGGCCTTCTCCTCAGGGCTGTTCTCTCAAGGTCACAACTTCGTTGTCACAGCATCAAGCATCACCTGGTCTGTGTGCAGGCCAGGGAGAGACAGGGAGGGCCCACCAGCCACCTCTGCTCCCTTTTATCATGAGAGCAAAAGCCCCGCATTTCCCTGGCAGACTGCCCTTTAGGTCTGAGGGCCACCTCTCCCTGCAAGGGAGGCTGGGGAATATGCAATAGAGTGGGCCCAGACACCTGTCAGGTGGGCTGAATACGCTGTCCCCGGGGCCAAGACTGCTACCTGTATCCATTCTTCCCCTCTTGAGTTTTGGTAGCTGAACCCCCAGATTTTTAACTGGATCAGCCCCAAATAAATACCACATCTTCCTGTCTTTTTAACAGCCAGGTGACTGAATTCCACTCCATCACCTCAACACACTGGAGCTGTGTTCATCAGAAAGAAGGGAGCAGGGGTTTTGGGGAGGTGTCGATGCAGGGAGACCGCTGGCCTGGCTTTCTGCTCAGCCCAGTGAAATCTCATCCCAGAGCTTGATCCGTGACTTGTCCATCAGATGAGGCTGCTTCTCCTCTCCAGGCAAAACCTTCTCACCATCTCTAGCCTTTCCCTCTGCATGGCTGTGAGTCCCCCTCTGTCTCTAGATCTTAGCAGTGAGTGATAACTCACACCAAGAAAGCACCCATCTTCGGGATCCAGACTGATGCATTTTGAGAACTGTGTAGATGGACCATCATGAATCCCAAGTCTTAGAACATTGCTGTCCCCAGGAAAGTTCCCTCCTGCCCCTGTGCAGTTAAGCCTTCATGGCCCCCCCCCCCACGGAGAGGCCACCAATATCCTGGTTCATTTTGCCTGCTCTGGAACCACAAACAAACGGATGCATTTGTTACGCGCCTGGCTTTCTTTACTCACAAAATGTTTCTGAGACTCACCAGTGCTTTTGTGTACTAGCAGCCACTCTAAGCATTCTGTGTAAGGACTTGTGTAAACATATGTTTTCATTTCTCTTGGGAAAATGGAGTGGAATTTCTTGTGTATATTTAGTTTCATAAGAAAGCACCCAATCATTTGCAAAGTGGCTGTAGCATTTCATACCAGCCAAGTACGAGGCCCAGTTGCTCCGTGCCCTCCCTAACACTGAGTGTTTTCTGGCTTTCAAATTTTTAGCCATTGAAATAACTTGGAGAGGTACTTTATTGATGTTTTAATACATCAATACAGCCTCCTCGATGACTCATGGCATTGAGCACACTTTCAGGTGCTCAGCCATTCATACATCTTCTTTCGTGAAGTGTCTATTCAGATCTGTGGCTCATTTGAAAATTTGGGCTATTCCTCTTTTTAGCCTTGATTTTTTAAAGGAGTTCTTTATATATTATGGATACTTGTGTTTTTTTCAGATAGAGGTGTTAAACATGTTTTTTCCACGGCTGTGTCTTATCTATGATTTTCTCAATGGTATCTTTTCATAAGCAGAAGTTTTAAATTTTAAGAAGACCAGTTTTGCAGACGTTATGGTTATTTCTTTTGGCATCCTGTCCTAGAATTCTGCTTCTCCCCCCGAGGTCACTGTACCAGTTCCTTGCCTCTGAGCCCCAAACATTCTTGGACAGTCCTCCTTCCCAGTGAGCAAAATGTCAGGTTCTCCCAGTACAGGGTGCTGGGAGGATGGACGCTGCAGACGAAGGGGCTGTGATGCCTGGCGGTCCCAGGGAGGGGGAGGTGAGGACATTTGGTGCCCAGCCACGCACCCCAAAGGACATTCCCTTGTGACCTTGCAGCCTCACTCTGGTGATTACCTTCCCCGGGCCTCTTAATCCAGGTTGTCCGCTCTGGGCCTCCACCTGGGTCCTAACAGCTCAGTCATAAGTATACAAACATATATTCCTTTTCATATTCTTTTTAAAAAATCTTTTTAAGAACAGCTTTATTGAGGTGTAATTGACATATAACAAATATAGTGTATTTAAAGTGTGCACTTGTGAAACCTCATGAAACTAACTGAGGTAATGAACATATCCCATGTCCACCCCCCCACCAAGACTCTTGCCCCTTTCTATCCCTCCCTTCTGCCCTTCCCTGCCTCCCCGCCCATCCCCGGGCAACCGCAGATCTTTCTGTTACTGTGGATTAATCTGTAGTATCCAGAATGTTTCAAAAGTGGAATTATATAGTACATACTCTCTTTTGTCTGGCTTCTTTCACGCAGCAGAATTATCTTAAGATTGATATATGTTGCATTTATCCATAGTCCGTATTGCTGAGTGGTATTCCATTGTATGCATATATCATAATTTGTTTATCTATTCAACACTCTTTTTTATTTAATTAAAGTACAGTTGATTTACAATGCTGTGTTAGTTCCTGGTATACAGGACACCGATTCACACACACACACACACACACACACACACATACATACAAAATACATATTCTTTTTTATTATAGGTTATTATAAGCTATTGAATATAGTTGCCTGTGCTGTACAGTAGAAACTTGTTGTTTATCTATTTTATATATAGCAGTTAGTATCTGCAAATCTCGAACTCCCAATTTATCCCTTCCCACCCCTTTCCCCCCTGTAACCATAAGTTGGTTTTCTATGTCTGTGAGTCTGTTTCGGTTTTGTAGATGAGCTCACTGCGTCCCTTTTTTTTAGATTCCACGTATAGGCGATATCATATGATATTTTTCTTTCTCTTTCTGATTTACTTACCACTTAATCATTTTAAGTGTACAGTGTAGTAGCGTTAAATGTTATTCACATTGTTATGCGAAAGTTCTCTAGAGCATTTTCATCATTCCAAACAGTAACTAACCCCCTTAAGCACTAATTCTCCATTCCCCTTCCCTCAGCCCCTGACACCCACCATCCTACCATTTTTTTTATGGTTTGATGACTGTAGGTGCGTCATCTAAATGGAATCGTGAATCTTACAGTAGCTGTCCTTTTGTGACTGGCTTATTTCACTTAGCAAGGTTCAACCATGTTGTAGCATGTGTCAGAATTCCCTTCTTTTTTGAACTGAGTGTCTGGAGTGGGAGGGGCTCTGGACGCAGGCTCAGACCCTGGGCTAGCAGCGCCTGAGCTCCCGCGTGCGCGCGGCTGTCGGGGCCTCCCTGGGCGCCCCGCCCTCAGCCCCCCTGCTCCTGCGGCGTCCGTGGGGTGTGTTCAATCTGTGCTGCTTCTCCGCTGGCACTCAGAGGACTTTCCTGCCACCCAAACAGCAGATGGTCAGGAAATGATGATTCACTCCAATATCAACCAGAGGAATATCTAATTCAATTGGCAAAATGTACAGTCAGAAAAGCACATGGCTTAACACATGTCATCTTGTTAGGTAGGTTGGCCTTTGGAGACCAAGGACCAATGACCAGCAGCTGGGCCAGGGCTGGGAGGGGCAGTGGAATTTCCTGGTCTTCTCTATGTCAGTTTCCCTCCCAGGTTCACAGGCCTGGGTTCGTTTCTACCCCACCCCAGTCCCCAGTCATAGCTGGCTTGGATCCTCAGCTGGGGTGCCCGTGACAGGCCAGATGCTGTGCAAGGTCCTTTATGTGTTGTGTCACTCAGGGTGAGTGTGACTGTGAGTGACACAAACCCCAAAATACCAGTTGCTTAAGCAAGAAATACTTTCTTATCACATAGAGGATGTCCTGAGGCAAGCAGGGCGGGGCTGAGGTGGCAGCTCCAAGCTGTCAGGAGTCCAGGTTCCTCCTAGCTTCCTGCTCTGCTGTTCTATTGAGAATGGCTCCTCCATCTCATAGCCTAAGATAGCTTCTTGAGTTCCAGCCATCGTGTTTGTATCCCAGTCAGCAGGAAAGGGGAAGAGAGAAAGAAGGGTGCATTCTTAGAAGTCTCTGGACACTTCCACTCACATCAATGGTCAGATGTTGCCATATGGCTATACCTAGATGGAGGGGAGGCAGGGACACGTGCTTTCTTTTCCAGGCATCCATATTCCCAACTACAGTTCAGGGTTTCCGTGACGGAGGAAGAAAATGGAAAGTGGACACTTAGCCGTCTCTGCTACACACACCTAGTTCTAATAAGTTCTAATAATTGTCAGTTTAAATCTTATTTACGTACTTTTTGTTAAGTAGCCTGATCACACAGTATGAAATTCAGAACAGCGTGTGGTGAAGCCTCTCTCTCTCACTTCTGTCCCCAGAGGTACTCGGTACCACCAGAGGTTGTCTGGGCAGTTCTCAAAGTGGGTCCCAGGACCAGCCCAGTGTCATCTGAAACCTTAAGAAATGCAGATTCTCAAGACCCTGCCCTGGACCTGTTGAGCTGGATGGTCTGGGAGAGAGCCAGGAATCTGTTTCAGCCACCCTGTGGGGGTCCTGAGTCTGCAAATACACCTACCTCTGGAGGTGCGCCAGTACGTGTGTGCCAGTGGAAACCAGTAGTCCCACTGTCGTTCCTCTGATTCACTGAGCAACAGTCAGACCACAGACAATTTCCCGTTTTTTAACAGCTTGATTGAAATGTGACCCACACTCCGTACATTTCACCCACTTAAAGTGGTTTTAGTATATTCAGAATTGTGTATTCATGCCCGCAATCGATTCTAGGACACTTGGATCATTTTTTTTAATTTAAAATTTAATTTTTGAAAAGTCATTCACGTGACTCAGACATTTTAAGAAGGTCTCCCCCACATGCCTGCCCACCCCACTCAGTGCCCCCACACCCCAGAAACCACTGCCTTTGGGTCTTCTGTTTCCTCTGGAATCTCAGAAGGAGCAATCAGATACAGACCTGTGATCTTTGTCTACACACACAGATGAGGGCAGGGCCTCATTCTCACAGTCCTGCACTTTGCACTTTTCCTCGACTTTTCTGTCTGGTGATGGAGTCTCCAGGAGGGCTTAGGAGCACCGTGGGCAACGGGTCCCACTCACAGCGGGAGCAGGAGCAATGAGGCCTCTGACATCTCCTTTCCTCAGTCAGCAGTCAGCTCTGGGCTGCCAGGCTGGGAACGATGCCATCCCTTCTCCAACGCTTGCCCCTGACCCTGACCCCAGGCCCTAGGCAGGGCTCCTTGGGGTCCTGAGCTGAACTTCCCTATGGCCTTGACCCTGTGAGGTCTATCTCATGAGACTGAGTTGGCCAGGGCTCAGCGGGGGTCTGTGTAGGAGGGCATCCTCACGAATGTTTGTTGAATGAATGAATGAATGATCAGTCCATCCCTGCAGTTCCATCAGTAACTCTGGACTTTGGGCACTTACTACACTTCCCCAGGCCTCAGTTTCCTCCTCTGTAGAATGGGGGCAGGAATCTTCCTCTCACAGTATGGTGGGAGGCTACAAAGAGAGATGGCCAGTGGTCAGCTGCATCTGGGAGTAGGGAAGTGGCAATGTTTTCCTCTTTCTCTCTTCCCAGAGGAGGAAAAGTAGCCTTGAGCACAGATACTGCTTTGTCAAATAAACATTCTTCACCCAGGTGCCCTCATGGCCAGGGGCCAGTAGGGGGCGCAGTGCACCAGGATCTGCAAACGGACCTGCCGTCCAGGACACTGAGCCCAGCAGGAGTAGGCACAGGGCTTGACCAGAGGAGTGTGGAGAATTTAGTCAAAGATTTTGTTGGGCACAGGCAACCAAGGGAAAAACAGATAATGCTTCATCAAAATTAAACACTTTGTGAATCAAAGGACACTCTCAAGAGAGTAAAAAGACTAACCACAGAATGGGTAAAAATATTTGCCAATCACAGATCTGAGCAGGATCTAGTGTCCAGAATATGTAGAGAACTCCTAAAACTCAACAACAAAAACCCCAAACAACTCATTTCAAAGACGAGCAAAGGATCTGAATAGACATTTCTTCCAAGAAGATACACAAATGGTCAATAAACACATGAAAAGATGCTCAATGTCACTAACCATCAGGGAGATGTTAATCAAAACCACAATAGGATATCATTTCACACCCATTAGGATGGTTAGAATAGAAAAAATGGAAAATAAATGTTGGCGAGGACGTGGAGAAATCGGAGAACTTATCCTCTGCTGGTGGGAAAGTAAAATTCGTGCAGCTGCTGTAGGAAACAGTTTGGTGGTTCCTTAGATGTTTAACACAGAATCGCCTTATGACCCAGAAACTCCACTTAGGTGTATATAGAAATGTGTACATGGATGTTCATCACAGCCAAGAAGTGGAACCAACCCAAATATCTATCACTAGGTGATGGATAAACAAAATGTGGTATATCTCAACAATGAAATATTAATTTTTATATAATTTTAAAGGTTACATTCCATTTATAGTTCTTATAAACTATTGTCTATATTCCCCATGTTGTACACACATCCTTGTAGCCTATCTGACACCCGGTGGTTTATACCCCCTCCCCCATCCCTCATTGCCCCTCCCCACCCCCCACTGATAACCACTAGTCTGTCCTCTGTATCTGTGAGCTCACTTCTTTTTTGGTTACATTCACTAGTTTGTTGTATTGTTTAGATTCCACATGTAAGTGATACCGTAAGTGGTTTTTTTCTCTGTCTGACTTATTTCACTTAGCATAATGCTCTCCAAGTCAAACAATGGAGTGTTAATCACCCGTAGAAGGATGCTACATGCTACAACATGGACAAACCTGGAAAACATGCTGAGTGCAAGAAGCCAGATACCAAAGGTCACACATGGTACTGTTCTCTTTGTATAAAATGTCCTGAATAGGCAGATCCAGAGGCAGAAAATGGATTAGTGGCTGTCGG